TGTATATATTATAAGGTGATGGTAAGGTTTATGAAGTTCATGTATATATTAAAGGTGATGGTAAGGTTTATGAAGTTCATGTATATATTATAAGGTGATGGTAAGGTTTATGAAGTTCATGTATATATTATAAGGTGATCTCACTCTCGCTGATGGACATTTCGAGTGCTATCCGAAAATCCTGACATTTTAAGATTTTTGTCCAGGTCTGAGTTAAAACCCACCAATACATGGGTTTTAGTTGAATATTTTGTATTGTGCTAAATGTAGTGGTTCACCTCAAATGTAACCTCAAAAGACGACTGACAAAAGTGTCCAGAAAACACTGTATTTTAACAACTGCACTAATAATACCTCTCATGAGCATATCATTTTGAGATATGGGAATTAAGATAACCAGAAATTTGCACATGTTAATTAAATAGTCGGCCAATTATAATAACATTGCAATATCGAGTACTGCATTTTACAGAAATCTCATCTATTAAATCCATAATATATAAAAACATTCCAATTTCGGCACATAAATAAAAAATGGCAACAACTCTCCCCTCCAAAGTGATTACATCCCGATGACATTTTGTGTGATTAAAAGCTTGCAGCAAAAAATGCCATCGACAGTCACTTTTTTCGAGGTTGGCTGGTCGTCCGCAAATCATTTGCGAAATGCAAGGCAAACCCCCAAATATTTGCTTTACACTCACGTGATCTCTAACCTAACAATTTTCTCGTAGGAAAATATTCCACAGAGCTTTATCGAGAAACTTGAATCACGATACGAGAGCAAAGTGTTCACAGTTGACGGTTCGCGATACTGGATTGGAAATACATCTCTTGTTTTTGCCAAACACATTCGTCTGGTTCCCGTAAATATTTCAAGAAACGAAAGTTGCATCAGATTACATATTTATGGCTGTTCCGCTGGTATGCTTATCCTTCCATTACCGCGTCTGTATGTTTGAGTGTCTGTGTGTTGGATGCAGATTGGATGAGCAAAGTTTGTCTTGCTTTGGCAGCCAGAGTAAACTGAAGTCGTAAACTGAAGCCCATTGTATAATTTACGCATGATACATAACTTAATTCGCTAGTTACACCAAACGATTTATCTCGTGAAGGCAAGACTGTTGCGCATTTTTGGTTTGCCAAACAATTCTTCATTTCCTTTGTTAGCATTAAACTACACTCCACTTGTCATTTGACTCTTGCACATTGAATTAACCTGGCTGTCTGCCGAATGCCGATGTCTCTCGTTAACCGATTGACTTGCAATGGGTGCTGATGCGCTTCTTAACACGAAATCATTTTGGCGGAGCAAGGGGATATTCTTGCACATCAATGGGTTAATCAGACTAGCTTCCCATGTCTATTATTACGTGAATACGTTGCAATGCGCCATAATGCTGTCCCTCATTATTTTACACGACTAAAGTGTTGCAAATTAATGGATAAACTAAACAACACTATCTACCCATTTCTTTTGTTGATCAAAATTACTAAAGCTGTCCACAATGATAATGCAGAATCTTTTATTTGCTCTGTCTACCTCCAGGCAATATTACTCATTAAGATAAGACATTAATGCGCTAAATTAAGATGAGACATTAATGCGCTAAGAAGAGACATTAATGTGCATTAAGATGAGACATTAATGCGCTAACCACAATGTAAAATACTGGTTCACCAGTAATCTGTATAATCCTTAATAAAGTTCATAAATTCTAAGAATTAAAATTTTATTCCAGGAATATTGGAAATAGCAAAATCCAAACCTACGATGCATCGCAAGCCTGGCGGATTAGCAGTGGTTTTGGGTGTATTTGGAGGTCTCGTGGGGACGATAGTTGTTACTGTCGGATCTTGGTATGTTTTCAAGCGATGGAAGACATTCGTGCGAATTATTATGAAGTGTTGGATAAAAATAAGGTAAAACAGTCAAACGTTTCCTTACAGGCACTTCTCTTATATGAACATGTCTCTAATACGAATATTTCCAATTAATCATTGTGTGTAAACGTACATTAATACAGATACATCTCTAAATACAGACATTTCTAATACGATCACATCTTTAATACAGGTATCTCTCTCTCTAATGTGGACACCTCTCTAATACAGATACCTCTCTAATACAGGTACCTCTCCAATACAAACACCTCTCTAATACAGATACCTCTCTAATACAGGTACCTCTCTAATGTGGACACCTCTCTAATACAGATACCTCTCTAATACAGGTACCTCTCTAATACAAGACACCTCTCTAATACAGGTGCCTCTCTAATACAGACACCTCTCTAATACAGACACCTCTCTAATACAGGTACCTCTCTAATACAGGTACCTCTCTAATACAGGTACCTCTCTAATACGGACACCTTTCTAATACAGGTGGCTCTCTAATACAGGTACCTCTCTAATACAGGTACCTCTCTAATACAGACACCTCTCTAATACAGGTACCTCTCTAATACAGGACACCTCTCTAATACAGGTACCTCTCTAATACAGACACCTCTCCAACACAAACACCTCTCTAATACGGACACCTCTCTAATACAGGTGCCTCTCTAATACAGACACCTCTCTAATACAGACACCTCTCTAATACAGGTACCTCTCTAATACAGGTACCTCTCTAATACAGGTACCTCTCTAATACGGACACCTCTCTTACAAGTCTCTCTAATACAGGTACCTCTCTAATACAGGTACCTCTCTAATACAGACACCTCTCTAATACGGCTAATAACTTCCCAACAAAGAACCTTCGCTCGACACCTCGACGTTTTGCTTGTATTTTTAGGTAGTTGAATCCGTATCCACTTGCATGTCTGATACAGACACCTCTCTAATATGCACACCTCTCTATTACAAACAATTCTCTATTACGGACAGATGTCTATGTCCAACATAAAAACCTTTTTTAAGAGGAAAACCTCAATAAAATTGACGCATTTAATATGAAAACTCTGCTGTGTTCTTTCGAGTCTATATTAAAAGTGTTCGACCATATTGTCAAATATTGCCTCCAGCCATGCTAACCCTTGTAATTTATATACAGATCATATCTGATGAGTGAAGACGAGGAAGGTTACTACGAATATTACGAACTCTCTGGGTCCGATGATTCGGAAGAACACATTTACTGCGAAATACAAGACTTGGAGGTATTTATGCTTTACTTGTCAAGCTATCAAGGTCAACTCACAACTGGTCCATGTTTCTTGTTAATCAATTAAGCCGCCCACGCACTTTGTGCACCCTACTTTGTTGTTTTACTCTTTCTAAAGCGAGCGGGAAGTACGGGGTGTTGGTGGAAAGCAAAATATCCCATTTTTTTACGTATCCCAGTTACTCTTTTAACACCAGGTGGGTAACCAAACTATCTGTCTCTTGTTTACCCATTAAGCTACAAGGAACCTTTAACAAAACCTAAGTTTACTCTTTAAGCATTGGACCTTAATGAGTGAACTAGACTATCTACCGAATCCTTGTTTTGCCCTACTTTGATATTTTATCATGTTTAATGACAGACGATTTAGTTGTAAAACAGAAAGTGTTGGCTGTAAATATAGAGCTTAAGCAAGCGACGTCTTTGACAACAGGACGTCAGCTGCAAGTCAATCGAGCTGTTCTATATGGAGAGTGATGGCGTCAGCAGTTCTTGCTTGAAATCAAGAATGGCAGTCAATGAAGTTTTACGTTCGTAATTTCAAGCAAGAACGGCTGTCGCGGAGCCCGTTAAGCGGATGTGCAGTTTGTCTACACATTTTGAAGACACTATACTCATAATATATAATGCACTAGTTAATATCTAACATCGTTCTGGTTTGCTATGCTTTTAAATGACCATAGATAGAGTTTCAATTTAGAAGATGTCGAAACAACGCGAAATTTGATTTCATCAGAAGGCCCTCAGATAGCACATGCGCAGAACAGACTTTACCTCATCTTTAAATTTTCTGAGTTTAAAACGGACTGCATACATCTGCCTATATTTCTTGTGAACCAACCCGATTTAATTCGTTGTGAAAGATCAATGTGCTCTAATGCCGTCATACCTTTAGCGCCAATCATGAACGCGGCCAGATGAACGAAATTGTTCAATGAAATACAAAACTTTGGTGTTTGAGGGTTTTTTACATCCGTGGCACCAGAGCACGAGAGAAATAGCTTGGGTACGAGATTGGGATTGTTATACCGAAAAATATTGGATCAAATCAGGTGGAGGTCCATTCTGGTCATATTTTAGAAATACTTGATCCCACATTTTCCCATCATACCAAGTACACTATCTCATTTTATATTCATTTTATTTATTTATTTGATTTTGCCCAATAATATATCAATAAATAAAATAAATATAAAATGATATATGAAGCGAGATACATTCAATATCCTTTCTCTATCAACGTCTTTTGTTTTCACTTTCAGTCCGTGTCTGACAATGTCAACGACAATGTATCAACAGATGAAAAATGAATTTTAATTCCTGCTGTTTATGGAATTGTGCGTTGTTATGGTATCATAGATTTAGATATATATATATGCTATATCATATTCTTGTACACATTTCCTGTCAAAATATTTTGTAAAGAATTATTTATATGCGCCTTAATTATATTAAATGTATACTGAGCTCACTTAGACCTTTGCACATTCTCAAAGATTAATCAGTAAACTAACTGAAATTTTAAAAATTAACTAAATTAATATAATCTGTTTCTGGATTTCTGCGGTTTGGGCACAGAATTGAAACCATGTCAGAGACAAACTCGGCAAAAAAAGAGTAACCGCTGCCATGCCATGATTCGCAATGATTTGTAATAAAAAATGCACTTGCCATGTTCCTAGTCAGAGGCATTCTTCCTTCAACGTTTGAATATTTTCAGAGTGAATGACTCTCGTTAGCGCACTGGCTAGGAACACGGTGACAGCATTGCAACAGTTAAATAATCATAGCCCAAACCAACAAGTCGACCTTCTGTAAGGTATCTATTCTGTGGTTTGGGTTTCTTCTTCTTTCTCAGACTTATTTTAGCCCGTTCTTGAACGGCCTTTCAGACATGTTTATCAAACATGTCTTGAGCACTTGTCAGGTCTATTGATGCAAATTTTTTTTTTTTTTACAAAAACCGTACAATTTTTCTTCTACGTTCCCAAAACATCCAGAGCGACAGAAAGACGCAAGTTGAGAAATTGCCAACATATTAGATGGCGCAAAATTCTAGGCTCAACCAAACTCGCTGACAAACACAAAATGGAGATCTTAATTAAGATTGACGTGTACGGCAGATCGCAAACTGCAAGTCGTATTTTGAGGTGTTAGCTATATTCAAAGAAGACAAATTGTGCATCAAAGTTGAAGCATGAATACTTAGCTGTCGAAAACGTGCAGAACTTAGCTACCTTCAAATGCGATTTGCAGCCAGCACTCTCAATATATGCAAATATATGTAATAATAATAATAATCAGTTTAATAAACCACATTACAGTATATAAGAACAGACTTACACGGTTAAAATGGAAGAAAATTACCTCAATCTATAATACATCAATAGTTCAATTTTACTGTTTGTTTCAATTTTCAGTGTTTGTTTTTAAGGTACAATTTGGTTAAGTACAACCTAAGTAAGATTATAATAGTTACGAGGTATTGAATTCACTTGACTTGTCACAATTACATCTTAGATTAATTATACTATTGTCAAGCTTTAATCACGTATGTCATCACGGTCATCTCTCAGCATTTCACCAAACAGTTTAAATGAAGATACTGCATGATTGCACTGGCGTGCCATCCATATCGTATTGTCGTAAGTTTCATCCCTGTACTTGAAGGCAAATGAGATACTTCATTTACGAAAATGGGCAGCAGGCTGGGAGAACAACGTGGAATAATTTCTACTGCAGTAGCCAGTAGCCAGTAGCCGTTATCTACAAACAAATTTAATGTAGGAAACGCCACTTAATGCACGCCACAGCAGGCGTAAGATGACGAATTACAATACAGCGCCTTGTTTGAGTAATTCCTCACGACTCCTTTCTCGCACGCTCGGTTAATTAAGAGGCGATTTTTTCTATCTCGTGTATTTGCGATGAAAAGTGTTCAAAACCCAAAATCCTTTTGGCGTTCCTCCCGAAATTGCTTTGTTTAAGCTTTATTCTTTAGTTTATACAGTTAGCTACTTTTTCAATGCATTTGTCGGTTGAGAAACGTAAAATAATAGTAAAATGTTGTCAATTAAAATACAATTATTCATTATAGTTTTGAGCGCGTGTTACGTAACACAAAAATCTCCTCTTAATTATTGCGTAGAACAGTGACGTCATCAATCAAAAACAAGGCGAGTGTTCACCACCATGGCAGAGCTGAAACAAAAAGTATCTTTCGAAGAAATTGCTGAATTTCGCTCAAAATTCGACAAATATGTCTTGCCTGATTCGGAGAAAATAAATATGGAAAATTTCGACGAACTGATCAAGGAATGCGATGAACAAATACCGCAATTTAAGTTACGGAAAATAGTTTGCGACCGGAGAGCGGCCGGAGAGAGTGACGAGTTGGATTTCGGAGAATTTCTTGATATTTTCAGTAAATTGAGCACAAAAACAATTGGCGCCAATTTCAAGCAAGCGGTCGAGAAAAGAGAGAATCTTACTACTGTGTCGACTTCGTCCGCGTCAGCACAAGGAACCAAACATTCCTTTCTTGATGCAGAAAAAGAAATGTTTTCGTCCTGGATAAACACGTGCTTGAAGGATGATTCATCTTTGAAAGGTGGGTGGTGGTTACGTACTGGATCTCCAGTGGAGGTGTTTGAAAAATGTTAAAGTTGTCGTACACGGTTACGCATGTATTGTGTGAAAAGACGACAAAAGCCTCCCCCCCCCCCTCGTTTTCCTAAATGTCAAGAGTCTACAGTCATTTTTGTGGAAGCCTGGAGGGGTCATGTCAAATTAATGGTGCTTGTAAATGTGCTGGTGTTTTCATCTCTTACGAGTACAAGATGAAAGTAGATTGACATGCACGAATAAAATCTCAGGGAAAAAATCACATAAGAACATTCGCTGGAGTAATAGCTGGCACCCTCATGCTAGCATCGTTCAAGAAGTTTATTGTGTATCTTTAAACAGCAATAGAAACAATTTCGAAACACTTCAAAGATTATCTTAAGGAAACGCACAATGGACAACCCTGAACCTTAATTTGCTGAACGAGCGAGCTAAATACGTGTCCGAGAAAAAACCCAAGAAAATAAAAATGGCTTGGACATGAATAAGATGTCGTTGAATGCGACAAGTCGTGAAATTTCACGAATTTAACAAGTCGTGCGAATATCGCGAAGGTCTTACTAATGGCTAAACCACGGCTCGTGAATCGCGACTTTCGAATTCCATGAGTCGTTGAATGCGACAGTATTGGACATGTTTGATGAATAACGTGATTAACACACTTCGCTTTACACATTTTTTTCAGATTATTTACCAATTGACGCTAAAAAACCGAATGCCATTTTTGCTGCCTTAAAAGATGGTATCATCTTGTGTAAATTTATAAACTGGGCTGTTGCAAACACGATTGATGAACGAGTGATGAACAGGAAAAAGTTGACAGTGTATACGATTCATGAAAATCAAACTTTGGTTCTCAATTCTGCCATGGCAATTGGATGTAGCATCGTGAACATTGGAGCCGAAGATTTGATTGAAGGCAAACCACATCTTGTTCTTGGATTATTATGGCAAATTATAAGGGTACGAAACCGTGGTTGTGAGTAGAAGAGGCCTGGCACTAGGCCCAGAATGGAAGTTGGTAAACGTGTGCTATATTAACTAGCCGGGTATAACACCACGGTCACACGTCTGCGCGTATTTACTGCTTGTATTCCAAAGACTGAAAATAGTATTGTCTTCACGAATTTCTAGCAAAAGATTGAAAGTAAATTACGAGTGTTTAAACTCAGTATAACTTCGTCTTGACACAAAAAAGCGGTGAAATTCCATACCTTATAGCTTCAACCGTTTCCTTATAGTAAACGCTTTTGTTTTTCCGTATTTTCTTCTATTATTTTGGCAGACATTTTGCCCGCCATTTTTGTATACTGCGCATGCGCTTTACGTTTGACCGCGGTGTTGCCGGGTATGCAAAGTTATTTATCCCCAAAGGTTGCCAGATGACACTAGCTCTAAACAACAACGGACAAACTTCTGTCGCAAAATGTCCATATGAACGTTCTACTGCAGCATTTAATAAGCCGAGAATGGAGTTAAGCATGACAAACCTCGGCGTCTATACTGTTCTTCGTATCATGTGCCAAACCGAATTCAATTTATTATCTACAAGTATCTAAAAGATATTAAAGACGTCCACACTTGTGCGTATTATTCCGAATAATAGCGAGTCCTTTCGCCATTTGCAAAAAATGCATGTTGCTTTCTCTAAATATATTATCTGTTGTTTGTTTGCGCAAGTGGTCATTTTTTAAATTAGTTAGCACAATTACTATGGCTCTATTAATTAGTTTCGTTTGTTAGTTCAGGGTCTATTACGCAAGTAAGGAAGGACCAATAGATATAATTATGCAGGAAGTGTGTGGGAGATCCCGAAAAAAACACAAAACAAACAAACAAACAAACAAACAAACAAACAAACAAACAAACAAACAAACAAACAAACAAACAAACAAACAAACAAACAAACAAACAAACAAACAAACAAACAAACAAACAAACAAACAAACAAACAAAACAAACAAACAAACAAAACAAACAAACAAACAAACAAACAAAACCAAACAAACAAAACAAACAAACAAACAAACAAACAAACAAACAAACAAACAAACAAACAAACAAACAAACAAACAAACAAACAAACAAACAAACAAACAAACAAACAAACAAACAAACAAACAAACAAACAAACAAACAAACAAACAAACAAACATTCAATGGGACCATCTAACGGATAGTGATTTTTTAAGTTTCCTAAAATGGTTCATTCATTGGTTCAATTTTAGTATTTATAAATTAAAGTTTGTTTGTATTAATTGTGAGGTCCATGCACCTCCGTTATTTTACAACTTTGTAGCAATTTTACAGCGGTGGGGAAACCGCTATCCTGCTTTCCAACAATCACTCAATCAGCCACAGGTAATTACGACGATAGCGAGAGAAAGCGTAGAAACAAGCTTTTCAATGTACGTCTAGATTGGTCTCTTCAACCGAATCAACATCAAGCACTGTCCTGGTATCTCTGCACTGTTGGAAGGTGACGAAAGCATTGCTGACGTCAGTAAGCTATCACCAGAGGAGATTTTGTTGCGCTGGGTAAATTATCATATTCGAGAGACTGGGTACAGCAGAATAGTGAAGAATTTCTCAGAAGATATCAAGGATTCAGAAGTCTATAGTATTCTCATGAAAAAGGTTAGTTGTCTTTATCATCAATATAGAGCGGACTTCATTGACCTTCTGAAGCCATGCTAAATATTACCTAAACAAGTAAGAAATTCAAATCTTGTATGACGGAACTTTCTCTAAGCCGCATTTTAGTAATTCTGTGTTTGAATAAATTAGACCATATAGGCTCAGTACAAAAAGATTATTTTAATAACTACGTTTCGGAGTATAACTCCATCTTCAGGTTAAAAAGTAACTAAAGATATAAAACTTTAAAAACAATTACAAATTATAAATTGTAATTGTTTTTAAAGTTTTATATCTTTAGTTACTTTTTAACCTGAAGATGGAGTTATACTCCGAAACGTAGTTATTAAAATAATCTTTTTGTACTGAGCCTATATGGTCTAATTTATTCAAACACAGAATTACTAAAATGCGGCTTAGAGAAAGTTCCGTCATATATATATATATATATATATATATATATATATATATATATATAATATATTTAACAAATATAAAACATTTTCCGTGTTGATATACAGTTATATCAACACGAGTGGAAATTGGGAAAACGAGAAATTGTGTGGAAACATGACGCCCAAAGGGCGGAGTGTTTTCACACAATTTCGAGTTTTCCCAACTTCCACGAGTGTTGATATAACTATATATCAATACGAAAAAAATGTTTTATATTTTTTTTATAATATAGCAATGTCAAAAGCCCGAAGAATAAGAAAAATTTCCGTGTTTACAAGCGGCGGAAAATTTCCCGTGTTGACATGGAGTTATATCAACACGGCTCTTAGCCAATCAGCGTTCAGAATTTACAAATACTATATTATAAATATATATATAAAATAAATACTGATACCATTGAAGAGTGTAGTAAAGGAGCTACCTTTCAATGGTTACATTTACTCGGCGAGAGGATAATCCAAAAGTAAAAATCTAAATTACTAAACATTTCTTTTTGCCACTAAAATGGTCGATTGTTAGCAAAGGTTTTAAACACGAATTGAGATCAGAGTTTGAAATTTTGGACTCTCCACAGCTCTTGTGTTAGTTAGCGTTTGAAAAAAAATGAGATCATTTCAAGATTTACTGAATGGGCGAAATTGAAATATTACATATCTTTTAAAAAATACTGAGTATGTCGGGACCTCTATAATACGGGCACTCACTGGCACAGCAAAGGGTCCATATTAAAGAGGCGTCCGCAATAGCGAGGTTCGAATTTATATGTGAGTTTTATTTCGAAACCCTGTTAATGTTTTCTGTATTTAAACGAAACCACCAGATTGCTCCATTAACAGTAGACCTGGATGAACCTCATATAACAGAGGCGGACTTGACAAAGCGGGCAGAGAAAGTTCTGGAGAACGCCAAGAAACTGGACTGTGATTCTTTTGTTCGTCCAAATGATATCGTTGAAGGGAATCCAAAGTTAAACCTCGCTTTCATGTGCCATCTCTTCAATTCTCATCCATCTTTGGTATTTGATGAAAGTGAAATAATTGATATTGAAGAGACGCGAGAGGAGAAGACGTTAAGAAACTGGATGAACAGTCTTGGTGTGAAGCCCCAAGTTCACCATCTTTTTTCTGATCTGTCTGATGGTATTGCTTTGGCTCAGTTATTTGAGCAGGTATGTGAGTTTGTGAACTGTCCGTATCATGAAATTTCTTGTGCTTCTATATACAATTATAGAAACACACGTGGAAGTTTGGGAGAACGAGAAATATTCAGTGGGAAAACGAGTCCCAAAGGAGTTCGAGTTCTCCCAAACTAAAAACCAATACCAGCCGACAATTTCAAAAAATATAATACAAAACATAATCCGAAGATAAGCATCTTGAAACCCAAAATATGAGCCAAACTACCACAAGTGTTTCTATAACTGTAAACAAACACAGTAAAAAATATTTTCTACATATTTTATAATATAACTCATGAAAAGCTTTAATTTACAGCGATTTCGATCAATTTACAAATTCTCATTACTTCAGGATAAATTACATTCGATCGGTTGCCCGGCCTTTGCTCCGGCGTCAATTTGAGAATAAAATAGTCAAAGTCTTCTCTATTTAAACTGAGAATTCACTTTGTCTTGTGGTTGCGTAATTCCTTTTTGAAAGCTAGTTATACTATTAACACATTTTTCTTCGATTAATTTCCCGTGTTTTCATACAGTTCTAGAAAACACGCTCTCGACTAATCAACGTTCTCGTACCATAAATTTTATAATCTAATTGTTCTTTGGGGACGTGATTTTAAAGAATGTACTATATGTGAGAATTTTGTTGTCGGTACAATGCGGATATGTACGTAAAAAGGCTCATTTACACGATACGACTAGTCGTATACGATTGTCATTCTGGCATATGAAGTTTATGGCGAAATTTGAAATGTGACATCTTTACACGCCAGGATAAGAATCATATACGACTAATCGTGTAGATGGACCTTATACAGGATTGTCCCAAAAGCCGGAGCGTCGATGTTTGACAGTTGCATCGTTCTTACTGTGTGATATTATTTTCCACACTGTGCAGATCAAACCAGGAGTTGTAAAATGGAAATCCATGACGATGCCGCCATTTCCAAAACTCTCCGGGAAAATGAAGAAATTGGAAAACTGTAACTACGTTGTGACAATCGCAGACGAACTGAAATTGTCAGTCGTCGGCATTGGTGGTCAAGATATATATGAAGGCAACAAGAAATTGATTCTTGGTCTTGTTAGTCAAGCAATGCATTTTTACACGTTGTCTCTGCTGCAGTCTATTGCTGGTTCTGATAAACCTGTCAAGGACGACCAAATTATCACCTGGGTCAATGACAAACTACAACAGCACGAGAAAGCATCAAAAATTGCCAACTTCAAGGATCCTACAATCGCTACTTCTCAAGCAATTATTGATCTCATCGACAGCATCAAACCGAACTCTGTCTATTACCCGGCAGTACAAACCACGGATACAGACGAAGCGAAATTCTCCAATGCAAAGTTTGCTATTTCAATGGCTCGAAAAGTTGGGGCCCGTATTTATGGTCTGCCCGAAGATATTGTGGAAGTCAACCCAAAGATGGTCATGACAATATTCGCCTGTCTCATGGCAAGTGGATTGAAATCATAAGAGTAAAATATTCCAACAAACTATTTCCAAACTTCTTGCCTGAAATGCGATTCATAATTGAAATGTTGCAATTAATTACTTGTGACAAAGACCAAAAGTTGAGAGCAGGAATATTCTACTCTTCAAGTTTCCTGTAAGAGACTGTTGTAACGGAGATAATTTTGCTCGAATATGAAAGAATTAACGTATTTCCAGCATCTTGTAATTTTCAAGGAAATATATAAATTAAAAAGTAAAGCATTTCCTAACCTTTCACTTAAATTTTGCACATTTTTCAAACAATTGCAACCAGGACTCTAAAACTTCCATTTCTGCCTTGTCTATATAGCATCTATAGCACAAATTTTCGACGATTCTTACAATTGTATAGTGTTATTTTGCAAGCTCTATTGTCCAATTACAACTTTTGCAAGGAGCTGGACTACGCATGGAAGATATTTCATGATTTAAATCCTTTTCCAGCAAGAGACTGTTTGCAACACCACATGAGAGTCATTGGCAGTAGAAGAGGAATGGGAAAGAGTCGAAAGCTTGATACGATATTTTTTATAGAATGCTTGTACTTTATCCTACTATATGCACGCTTGATACGGCGGTACGGGGGGGGGGGGCAGCAATGGCAACTCCACCGTACCTCTGAGAATATTTAACCTACCATTCTTATAATGTTATTATAAATTATGAAGCCAAATGGCACTTGTAATCTTGTGAATCAGAATGTGTATATGGAGCGGTCATAAGCATGCATCTAACTGATATGACTTTGAATGTATTGGTATTTGCGTACTTATTTCAGCACATAAGTATTACTGCCTCCTTGGCAAAAAAATCCTGCGTACGGCCTGATGCTTGAATGATAAACAAATGAACATCATGGACATCCTAGCTGCATAATGGCAGACAGCTCGATATTCGTGCATGACATACACGGTCTTTCCGGGAATATTCAAGAGTGGCGCTCTATAGAAACGACTACTTGAAGACGCCTCCAAGACTGAACACCGCTCCAGTATTGATATCTTAGTGTCATATTTAACGGTTAGAATATCCCAGTAACGTACATCCTGTTTGCTCTTGTACATAGTGATTTTACGCAATAACCATTAATTACTCAAGTATAACCATCTTATAATTGTGAAATGTTTACAACAAAATTAACGCACACAATCCTTGCTCCCATTCTGAAATTGGCGAACTTGTATTAAGCAATGCTAGCACAGGGACAAACTAGAAATAGTCATAAAATTGACACTTATAGCTACAACGGCAAAATCGACGAACTACCGTTGTGAACAAGGATGGAGAAAAGCAACTTGAAACCGCTTTGGGGAAGATAGCGAGTTTTGTGGCGTCGCTGTGCTAGATTAAGCCCGATATACATACGAGCAAGTTTTCTTGACAAGTTTTGTTGGTCATGTGCACAGAATGTTGTTAAACATTTATCTCGGTCAAGGTCGCGCCTTTTGTTTGCCAAAACCATAGATGTATGTCTTGTACACTTGTCAACTTTTCCTTGGCGACCGTACACACGAACAAATTTTCCTTGTCCAAAACCTGGCAAGACTAGCTTTGGTTTTTCCTATGCCAGTTTTGGCGTAAACGTAATTCGTCATCAAAATGCTGACGCCATGGTCCTAGCCAGTGCGCTTATGAGAGGCATTCACCCCCTGATTATATCCAAAATGGCGGACGTCCAGGGGGAGAATGCCTCTCGACCTTCTGTGTGTCTTTACTCTGCGCTAAGGCGAAGCTGCGTTATTTTGCTTTCAGTTTGGTTTCGAAACCAGAACATGCTTCCTTCATAAGACCAGCCAATCAAAACAGTTTAATGATAATTGAAAGTTCAAAACGATTTCAGCAAATGCATGAAAATTAATCTACAAATTAAGTTTGAATCTTTCAATTTATGGCATTTTCTTTATTTCTTCGCCCTTTGTTGGAATAATGTCATTTATAATTAAGCAATTATCCTTCCTTCATAAAAAATAAGTATCTGATTACACTTTCTAATGGGTGATAATTTCATATGAAACGCTTCTTCAAAACTTTTGCAGCATTTGCCAGAACGATATAATTGATTGTGAGGTCGATATCCAACATGAAATGATCGTCTCATCACAACACATTTTATGTGTTCAACCCGTAGCTTGGTCTTATACTCCAGGGGCGTTGGAAACAAAGGGGCATAGTGGGGCCACGGTCCCCAATATAAAGGGAGGCCGGAATAGCTTTCGGCCCCACCAAAACATAATTGATCTTTTTTAAGATTGCGCTGACCGGCCAATAAATAATAATGGTCCATCCTGACTCACGGATAGCATAGATTCACGAATCGTAATGAAAGAATGAATGAAAGGACCCAACGAAAGAGGCAGAGAGGACTCTGAGAATGAGCCTCCCCTCCCCAAGTTTATCGCTTCCTACCCTGTTACACTCGGCATTATTGCACGTTTGCCTGTTGGTAAATTACGCATTTATTTGCAGGAGTAAAATAAAGCCTCCTGCATCTTTCATATAAACTTTACAGCTTATGTTTAATATTAGTTTTGCAAAGAAAAAATAGCTTACGTTAGTTTTTATGTTAGTTTTCCAAACATTTGTATGCAATTTAGAATTCGCTCATCAATTATACTGTTACATGCGCCAAGACTCTTGTTATTCTTTGAATCGTTGTAAATTTTTACCATAACAATAGCTGCTGTGCTGACGCTCTAAAAATTGAGCCAACTGGGGAGAACACAAGTTCAAATCCATATTAAAGCGCAAAAATCAATAGATATTTTCACGACTTAAACATTTATTCTTATGATGGCAACAGTGTTTCAACTGCATTTCAGAGCGATCATCATCGTTAAAACGACATCTCGGTTGTATACTCCAAACTCTGCGGACAAACTTTCTACATTTTCAAACGGGAGGGTGCTGGAAAAACAGGAAAAAGCTAACAAAATCAGAAACAACGGTCTGAAAACGTATTTTTATTAAACCAGTTCGACTACGTTATAATTATAGGAAGTAAAATTTGTGCGGTACTTCGTTTTCTTCTTGTTTTTTTTCTGTACAAATGTAACACAATCTCCCCTGTAGTAAATTGAGTTCGTTGAGTGGCAGTATAATATGTTAAGAGTATATAATATATTCACCCGCGATCACTTTGGAGCCAAGGATTGCGCCAATATACGCTTGAATGCCATGTACATCAAAATCCCGACATTTATATTACAAAAAACATTACGTCTTATTAAATCGTTGAGAATACTAGGAGTTACTAGGGGCTACTTGAACTAAAATTTACCTTCAACCTTGAAACTAGGTTGATGTATAATGCATTATTGTTTGAAAATCAAACCTGGTCTATATATTTGCATTGATAATGAGGATTGCTAAGATATATTCGCGCTATGATATTGCACATTTAACAGAAGTACATCTGTTGTATTTATATATACACATAACTGACGCACAATTCTAGTTTATTTATTCAAACAAACAGAATCGCTTCGCAAAGTTTTGAAAAACAATTCTTAAACTTATATCTATTGTTAGAGAATGAGGCCAATATTTTTTCATTAAAATCTTTTCGGAACATATGCACAGAATATAGCTTTACTACCGAAACAAATTAACACGAATATCCGTCAAGAAAGAGCTTTTTGACAATTTTTTTCTTATAGTATTGCATCATCATTTGTAATGTCTTAATATATTTTCGCGTCAGCTCTTGTGCACCTCCTGTGCTGGTATAACACCGCAGATTTATGGCCCAACAAACTATTAGCGTAACTGTACCTGAGTTTGGGTAGACGTGATATCAAGTTACGAAATTATTACCTCATTTTGACCCATCCAAATAAATTAAAATGTAACCTGAATCAACGATTTCGAGACATAATTGGAAGATTGATAGTGTCATTAACCTTATCGAGGGTTTAAATAGAATTTAACTCTTTTTGTATTTTTAATGAAATTTTTACTGTATATCTTATAACGTTCTAGCTGCATGCTATAGCGATACCTTGAAGATTATTTGGCAAACACATGCATACAGCATTGAGACAAAACTCAATTAGTGAATATGCTTTCAGCACCTATATCATGTATATTTACATCGAGAATAGAAATCTTTGCACCTGATTTTAATTGAATATTTTATTCATGAAGTCGAAATCCTGTTATATAGATGCTTTTTAAACAACCTCCAGTGTTTAATTTGTTTGTCTATTGCTCTTGTGCACCTGCTTTCTATGTCGGGAAGGTCAAGTAATATGTTGTCCCGTAACACAGAAAAAGCACTATACAATCTAACACTTCATGCACCAAAATTCTTTCAATTCTGCTCTGCATTGTCTGTGTATTTAAATGGACTATGGACCAAGTTCAAACAGCTTCGAATTGATAAGAATGCAATTATACCTGCAAACTATGATGTATGATACAAGGGGAACTTCGACGTTTCGGGTGAAGGCCCTTCGTGGGGAATAGTAGCGACTTTCCGACACTAAAGTACACACCGGACGCAATTCGACAACGCGATGCGATTTTTCGATTTTTACTGACCGATAACTTTGATCCTAGTTTAAATTTTCCAAATATTTAGAAGGGCTTTAACATTTTGAGTTAATTGGTCTACATATATTTTAAAGTTTGCTCTCATTGGCTGTTTTATTAACTTTCAAAAATTAAAAAATCGCGTGGCGTTGTCGAATCGCGTCCGGTGTGTCTGGACCTTAACTTTCCGACGAAGGGGCTTCATTTTTCAGATATATTGCATCTTTATCAATTCGAAGATTTCTACTATTTGCCACATTTCCAAACACTTTTGCTTGTCAATGGACAATGAATGCATGTAAATACAAATATTGCAAATCATTTTTGTATATATATCCCAACACAAATTTGAATGTGCATGTATGTTTTGAGCTCAAACACTTAAACCTTAACAACATTAATCCTTCCCAGAGTTTTGTATATCCCATTTGTATCTCGGTCTCATGATCACTAATGCAATCTTTCTAATTATTAATTTATTTTCAATAACTGCAGTTTTCAACAATTTCTATATCTTGGCATATTGCAAGGACAATAAAAACTCGTCAGGTAAAATAGTTGATAATTATTTATGTTTAGGTGAGAGCCAATTGGAAACAAATCATTCCTCATTCATGCTTTGGGATCAAGTTACTTCACATTCAGTTTACTTGGAAATATACGTAAATAAAGTTATGAGGAAATGTGTTGACTGTTTGTTTTTCTTAGTCTTTCCCAAGATTTAAACTGCTTCATATATATCTAAATTACTTTAATATGTTAAAATGAGATGAAGCAGGCAATCAAATTCAAGAAGCTCATTAACACAAAAACCTTAATGTGCTTTCAAAGTGATATGTCTATTTCATTTCTAGCTCATTATGTACAAAACACAATACAGGAAATAACGGGTCCGACGATCAGTTTAAGATTAACAACAAATACGACAAATAAATTGATATGATAGTTTAGTTTTTCCTGTTGCATGTTAAAATATATACCTGGTCAAGTACTTGATCCTGTGAACAGTATAAATATTTAAAAAATGCTAAATTTGTCATTGCGTGGACTTCCAGACGTCAATTGCCTCCACCCAAACGGAAGCCTTCAAATTGGATGAAAGAATCTTTCTGTCGTGTTAGTCCCTGCCTTAGTCATGTTTGTTATGGAGAAATGTATTAGAAATACACATGTTTGTGAGTTTTAGTTAACGTTTCTAACGATATGTGAGTTAAGATAAGCTGGAAATTGAAATTAACCTTGATATTAAGATATGAGTAAGCGAGAGGAAGTATTATTGCAATTAAGTACATGAAATTAATTGCTGTGATTTTCTGTGAAGAAATATCGTAGGCGAATTTGTTACACAAAATACGAGCTTGCCCGGATTAAAAAAAAGTCAAACATAATGATCTGTTTCTATTTTTCATATATCAAAACTGCATGAATTCATTATAGAATTTCGCATTTCTCAAAATATTTCAGTGAGGCTATATATTCGTGCAGGAAAAGTAAACTTATCTGTGTTTATATAATCACTCTTACAATGTCCGGCAATTTCACTAGAAGCTGTTGATCTTGAGGAAACGTATTTTCGCAATTTTTGCAGCCATAATAGCCTATTGCTGTTCAACACGCTCTTAAGAGGCATTAACACATCTAATGAGAGCAATTTTAAGCTCCATATTGATAAAAATATGCATAAGAAAAGCAAGCGCAATCACTATAACATGAAAGTCTACACAAATGATTAGAAAGAAGGTTAGTTTAAAAGACTAGAATGACTCATAGATGCAACAAGACATAGGAAGTAGACTAAAAAGTTTAAGTGCAAAACATCGCTAATGTTCCGTTAATTGACGAAACACGAGTCACTAAAGTAAGTGTAAACTGCGCAATTTACGCTGCAAAAATATCATTAAGGCAAGCACGTAGACAGTATAGGACAATTTTCTTTTAAGAAAAAATTGTGCAGATAATGTGAAATGCCATTACAAATTAAATAATTTAAATGGGAAAATTTCGCAGTAAGCGTAACAGCTTTGAAGGAAGAAGAAAATTTGAACGAAGAAGAAAATTTGAACGGCAGGTCAAGTCGTCGTTGGACATATTTTGTAAACAACCCTAATTTTTATGGCAGCAAGTGAATCAGCGAAAAATATCCGAAGTGAATAAATTACGACAATAATAACAGTGTTCCACTTTCATTTTTATGTTTGCTTAAAAGACTAATTGTAAAAATTCCCTCATAAAATTCCATATTGACAGCGAACGAAACTATGCATGGGTGTATGTTAATTGCAGCTCTATATATAGACAGATATTTAAAGTTCCCTTTAAAAATTTCCCTTTTCACACAGGAACTGTTGTATGCTTTAAACAAAGCCAGACGAAATGCTCTACTTCGCTCAAAACGTCGAAATTCGTTTTGTATTTTAAGTGGATAGTTGTATCTCGTACAAAATTGTGACTTGTGTAGAGTACAAGTTTAGATGCTATCCTATGTTGATCCTTAGACTCCAAATAAGAGGAAAATTATTGCAGTTCGGGTGCTAATAGCTAAAAATTGCCCTATAAAAGTTTCTCTAATAGACATGAGTGATAATTTGAACGTATTTGGACAAATTTGTCTCGAAAGTCTTTTAGCGCACTTGATACATTAATGACGAGTTACGAGGTACATGTTGGTACATTGGTGTGATCCAAATCCAAGTTTTATCAGTGACTTATTGAAACACTCAAGAATTATTTCGCAATTTTCAAATAGATTTATTTCGTTTTGAAAGGTGTCGCAGGAACATATGTTGCCTGTTTTGTAGTAAGCTGGAACAGCCCCAGGTATTCTAGTTTCCCGGGACTCTCAAACGAGCTAAAGCTAAAAGAGCCTTTCAGTTGAAACCTACGCACAAGAAATGGCCTTGCTTCTAGAGACGGCAACTACAGAGGGATGTTGGAGTCGTTGTATCCAACATATGGTTAAGAAAAGATTCTTTGTTTGCTGTGAATTTACTAATGGTTGCGAGGACACAATGCAATTAGCAAGTCATTATTCTAAGAGCCAATTAAAGCTATCATTTGCAAGCTGTTCAATCTACCTATGCATAAATTACAAGGAACAATAAAAAAGCTAGAGGTAACACATTTATACACTGGTCGTGAGCTAACAGGCACTCAAAACGTTCTCCTGGACAAGGAACACACTTCAAACATCGATCTTGTGCGCGATCGTAATTCACAACAACAATTATGAACTTCGCAATTGAACATCCAGAGTTACAAAAGCCAGCATTTATGGAATTTCCAAATATGCCGAGTCCGCTAAGCCATCACTATGGTCCTTACTATCCACGCTGTGGTGTAGGAGCTCCAAGATCAGAATATAGTTATGGCGGTCGGATGAACTTTCCTCTACAAGTGAACCATCATCTTGGGCCACCAGCACCACCAACCTCACACGCGTACTTACCGTATGCGGTACCGCGTGAATTATATGAAGGTAAGATATGACGCTCAACTACCTGTCACTAAATAACTCTTGTAACTACTCTATCTTCATCATCCGTAATGTTTAGTCCTACACGTGGCGCTCAATCTGTATGTTAGCAAGTAATCATAAAGGAAATGAAGCAGTGTAAATTACCGTATAATATTCGATATGGATGTGTTTACATAACTCTTGGAAAATGAGGGACTATTAGCGAGATCAATAAATGCATCTCTATGGCAAAATTTGAAAATGGTTAAGATGACAATCTTCTCGCTGTTAGTCTTGACTAACGGACAGCAATAGGCAGGTAGATATATTGGCGCAACTTTGACACAATACAATAGCTTCAGCATGATCACGAATTGCATATCAGTATACATTCAAATGCCTCGGAGTCGAAGCAAAAAATGAACATTCGTTCAGACAAGTTAGATTTCCTACCGCAAATCAAACTAGATTTGCGAAAAATTCCTTACACGGGATAGATCATACAAAATGACTGTGGTATAGGACCTTAACTGTCACACAGTGAGACTAACTCCTCATTTTCATCTTTGAGAATAAAGATTCGGCATTCGAAGAAAATTAAATAATTGCCACTAATGCAACCCTTGCTTTATACGAATAGAGACCGAAAACAAACATAATATGTTTAATCTGTCCACAAGTGTAGGAAACTGTCACTTAACTGTTGTTTGCTTTTCAGATCATTCAGATGAACCAAGATTGAACAGTAAAGGCAAAAGGCCTCGTAAACCAAGAACAATCTACACCAGTTATCAACTACGAGAACTAAACAGAAGGTTTGAACGTACGCAGTATCTTGCGCTACCTGAACGAGCTGAACTCGCCGCGAGACTTGGCTTAACTCAAACACAAGTGAAAATTTGGTTTCAGAATAAAAGATCTAAAGTTAAGAAATTGATGAAGAATGGTGGAGAACGGAATCCGGATGAAAAGCCTCTACAGAATGTCGCGACATCTCTTTGGAACAATTCAATACAGAAAAGTGAGAACGATATAAATGAGAACGATAATCTACCTGATCATTGGTCTCTATCAAATCCAACCCAACTAGACTGTAATTCACCATTTCAAACAAGGCATTAGCTAGGCTGTATTTACGAAAAATGACAGTTGAACATTCACGTCTTGGTCAAAGCAAGATATTATTTATTGATTGTAAATCACTCTTAAAAGACTGTGTGAGAAGCATGTGGAAGTCACGAATCTGTTGAACTAAAAAAATGTTCAATATTTTTAAATTTGCTTAGCAAGTAAATGCATATAGTAGAGGGTTGTAAATATATCAGTAGAGGGGATGTATAGACTTTAATATCGTCGATATAGTGTTGTTTTTAAATGTGATGAGAGATCATCACTTATATCTGTAGAGAGATCACACTAAGCTGTAATTCACACATGATTGCATGAACGCGTGATCATGTAAACACTAATATCTGACTGAGTGTCTCGACCTTTCGAGGGGAATATAAGAGAGTGACAAAACTAACATAAAAATCTATTTAGAATGAATTTATATGTGTAAATAAGTAAATTTAGAGTAATAGTTCAAATTATAAAAATTAGAAGTCCGGAAAGTGTTTTTCTATTTAGTTTAAACTGTATAAAGGCGTGGGTTAAGGTGACGCGCCAAAGCACTTGTCAGCATCCGTTGTAGTGGCTTGTGACGTTGCAGGTCACACAAATACACACATCCAAACTAACACGTTTCTCTCAAATTTGGAAATACTAGAAAAGAATTTAACTAAACAAATAAATTGGTAATCTAGTTAATTTCTTATACTAACCAAACTAAATCTAGAGTTCTTGGCTAATATTATGTAATATATTTGGCCATTACGAAATATTCACTTGTTCAAAATTATAAGGTAGGAAAGATGAAGAAAGGCATAGAATGAACAAGTTTCGTGAACTTCCATGACTTGTGTGAACATCCTTATACAATTGCCCGGAGCTCCAGCCATGGTGGTGCCGCTTTGAACAAAGACATAAAATACCTTGTGTTTCAAACACAGCGGTATACCTCTTGATAACCATGAAAGCTTGAGGAAAACACTAACTCTTAATGTGTTTATCCTAACAAATATTGAAGACACCTGATGGGCTATTAACGCTAACGAGGAAAGAGTTCAAATACTCTAACATATGTTGATCAACTATAACTTTTTTATCAAATCAAAGCACATTACAACCACTTCTCTATAGAATTGTAGGTCATAATCATGGGTGATTTTGGAATTGGTTGAAATATTAAGGTTAAGCAGAAGTAGCCAGACTACAGGCACAGCAGGCTAGTTGAGTTAACGATCAGTTGAAATATCCATTGCTGTGTTTACAAATTACGGTTATTATTATCATATTTACACATCGAATTATCACAGTTGTTAGGAAAATAGTTCCCGCCCTTGAACTACACTGTGTTCTATGAGAATACAACAATCACCAACGATACATTTCCAGTATACATATAGATATTTCAAACATTATATTAAAACCTAGAAAATGTATTCTCTTCATTTCCAAAACAGAAATTATGACAGCAACAATAAAAGTGCGTGGGTCATTAAATGATCATCGAAGTCTAGATGACGCCGCTTGATGGAGCGTCAACAATGCGAAAGCATGCACTTTGAGAAAAGCATGATTTTCTGTAACCATTTATCTAATATTTACTATCATTTAGGGTCTTAGTAATAGTTATTATAACTATAATGACTTCTTACCTTTGTGCACACTATAATATAACCAACGACCCAAATTTTATGCCATTGCTTAATTAGTTAATAGACTGTTGTGATCGGAGCTGGCTGAAAAGGATTATCCTTGAGAACGAAGGCCATCTTAGCAGTCATGTGAAGTTTGATATTATATAATCATGCCAACAGCAAGAAAATAGTTCGGTCTCAAAATGAAAGAGCATATTAAATTTCTCTTATTACATTATATTTTAGCCATTTAAATGCCATATCTGGCTTTAAAGTTTTAACAAACAAAAGCTTCCTAGTTTTATAATTTTGAAGAATGTTATAGTGTGAAAATTCAACAGGAAACTAATTTGTTTTTATTTACAAAAAGCAACCACATAACCAAGACAAATAGTTTTATATTGTCAAAACATGGCAACATATAGTGTGTTGCTGCACACTGAGAAATAATTGCATATACAAATGGGCTTTTTAAAAACTCTTTCTCAAGGCTTCAGAAACGTTTAAAAAAATGAAGCTTATCTTTACTTTATCGTTCAAACAATTTATTGATGTTAATCTTCAAAAGTTGCACGTTTTCGTGAAACAATATGGCCAACAAGTTTAATTTGGAGTAAACATTATAAAATAACTGAAATTTTGTCAAAAATTCTATTCAGTATTGAACCAAAGTCGTACAATGTATCTTTGCAGTTTTTGTAACATAATATCTAACGCTATAACTATACATCGAGATAAGAACTCAAAGAATCACTTTTGACTACGAATATTCGTATTATTTTACTAAAGGACACTAATTGATTTAAAATTGATCCATCTTTGACCACTCAATTATTTAACAGCAAGGAAAAATAATTATGTCAGTTAATGCGTCTAACAAAGAAGGATGGGATAATAGAATATGAAAGTAAATGATGAAAGCGAAAAAACAGTACTGACTGCATGTTGAGCAGGAATAAGTATGTTTATGGGGGGGGGGGGTCAGGAAGAATGATCCAGAAGAAAAAAGTATTCTGCTTGTAAATTTAAAGAAAATGTATACATTTATAAATAACCATGAACTGCAGAATATATTAATCAATATTATTTTTCCAGAGTGGGTTTATACATGCACAAATTTGGTGCAAAGTCGTCGGGACATTGATATGCGTCAAACAATCGAATGAGTAATTTTTTCATGATAATGTGGGATAAAATGTCATGCGTTTGTCATTTGTAGTCGCGTTCAGCTGATAAAAATGAGTAGAATATTTTACTGTGAGAAATATCTTAAATTAAATAGGAATTGTTAATTTGTATTTTGTTGACTTGGCGTAACCGTGGAAATAATATTCAAGTTGTAAAATGTGTGGTACCGTGCCTGTAAACAACTACTTCAATGTCAACGTTGCCAATTTAAATCAATAACCTATTTACCTATATGTCTATACTTTGTAATCTTTAATAGGCCCATCTTTTCAAGGACCAATGGGAATACAGGTTCTATTGTTATATACATAGAGGTTGATTTTGAGTACAAATTATCGACACAAAACATAAATATTTGTGAAAAGTACGGCGAAATACCCAGTGTATTCCACCAAGTCTTGCGTGCTGTCTGGCTATATATTGTACGAACTACGATAAAAAATTTAACTTTTTGTGTTCTTTAGTGTTCTACATATTGAAAACGTAGATAATACAATCATCCATTGTCTTGGTTAGGCAACGGACTTGAACAGCTTTAGACGAGCAAAGCAGATTGTAGACAAGTACATGATTGCATCTTTCGAGAAAACTTAAGCACGTATAAGTTGTAACTCTCGAACGATTAGGATTTAGTCGGCAAAATTACGTTCCAAGGACTCAACTATGATTTTCTTATTCGCATATCCACTACTTATAGCACTAATTAATAGAATTAAAAACTATAATAACTCCTAAATAGACTTCCCTTCTTCCCTATATGCAATCATGTTTTACAATCAGCACAGTTGAGCCAAGGAAATGGCGTTGAAATATAGTATGATCGTTGTTAAACATGGGTATATAATTACATAACTTGTCTCATGTGATCGCCTCTAGTTTGCGTGTCAGGAATTTGGCAGTTTCTCATAAACATAAAATACGAAGACTACCTAATTTTTCTTACCATGGATGTGAGTACATAATTATATACATGTAGTAAATGTGAATATACATAGTAGATTAAGACTGTTTTGCTTAAAAATGTTAAGATTTTTGAAAAACATTAAATGAATTATTGTCTGATAAACTTATATTGTTTCGTTTTCTCTTGAATCCAACAACTAAAAACTACAATAGCCGTATTAAATGTGCAGAGGGGGTAGAAGTTATTGAACAAGCTGCAAGCCATCGAATCATTGTTGCCGCTACATCGGCAAATGTGGCTATAGTCTTCTATAGTTGTTTTGGCATATTGTGATTATACATTCAAATTAGTCTGTGGGAAACAAAGATGCTTTTCAATATAACTATATAGTAAGAATTAGTCCTTTATCACTTGTTATTGTGTGCACATTTGCCTAATAACGTCTCCAATTGTAAGTTACTTAAAATATAAGTTGTTTAAAGGAGATAAAACATATTATTTCGGTGTCCGTGACTTATCTTATGTCTGTTTGACTATTTCGAATTCCATTTACGCCCAACACGTTTTTCTTTGTCTATATTTCTATAAATATATTTCTCCTAGTTGATGTTTTTACAGTTGTATACTTGTTAAAGTGACTTCGAGGTCACTGACATCAAAACAATACATGTATTTGAAGAGAGAATTTTTCAAGCATATGCTGCAGCAAGCCATGTCCTCAGTCAGTGAAGGTTACGCTATTAATAGAACAAGGATGTCTATCCTAAAAATATTTATCACTTGATATGGAGTCTATCTAGAATTTCCCTCTATTTAAAATGGTTTTAACAACGAGTGCTGTGAATATGCATGCATACTGTAAAATATGAATATGCAATATGAATGTACATGTATATATAGTTTCATTTCATTTAAGTAATTGTGGAGAAAATAAAGAAAGCTTGCACTATGAACGAGCATGCAGGAAAAATGACAAATTATACGCATATAGTTGGCAAATTTTTTTGATGGCATAGCTTAATAATATTTCAGGCCAAACATAGCGCTGTTCTATAGTCATCTTGTATTGGTGATCCATCTAGATTATAGAATAAGTCGAGCTATTATGAGCCTGAAAATTGTTTTTGGTCGTCACTGGATCTATTGGGTTGATTCTACGTGAAATAACACTTCAATATCTCGACAGAAACGGCATGGTCTCACTGGAAATTCAAGGAGTTGAAACAAAAGTGTTATTCTGACTAATTTTAATTTCCATCCATATTCTTTAATAATTTTCCGAGGTAAAATTCAGCTTCTATTACAATATGAAAAATTGAATACATTGTGGTGTTTGATAGTCCAGATCTTTTTCGAGCTACATATAGTCCAGTCAAGAGAGGACTTATACCCTTAGCCATAGTCAATAGAATAAGGTTAGGAAACTCGATGCACACATAATACACCTCATCATCTATGTTTTTGTCTTGGTTTTTGGAAACAAATGGTCGGTTCATCGTCACGTGTATTTTCGCCAGAAAAAGCAATAGTTATGTTTTCATTTAACCATTGTGTAATATCACTCATCGATTTCCCTAACCTTCTTATTCCATTGACTGCTTGGTCCTAGAGCAAAGACTTTTTACATAATGATATAACTAACAGTAAAGTGCTTTTGACAAAAATATTTTTCATGTATATGCATGAATCTATGCAGTAAGCTTCTAGTGACTTCATTTTAACAATTATTTTTCGAAATAACCGAATATGAAATATCGTCCTAAATGTCATTTCAACAAGTTTAAATTAACCAAAACTTTGCCTAGATTCAATATTTGTAGCGTCAAAATGCTCGTTAAAAACCTATTAAT